GCCGGACCCCAAACATCCGAATAGATGTGTTCTAGTGGAGCATGACTTGTGATAGATGAATGAGAAAAGGGTAACTTATGACTCTTAGAGCACGCACAAGATTCACAGAAAGAAAAGTCCATTTTATTAGAAATAGGTAATTGAAAAACACGAGTTATAGATTTTATGGTCTTTGTATTAGGATGACCTAAGCGTGCATGCCAGTTCGCCAAAGAGACACGTTCACCAATCAGAGCCACAGGCTTAGTTTTGCTTGGGAGTTGATAAACTCCATGTATGTTTGGACCGCGCAACATTGTCGCCCCCGTGCTTCAATCCTTCACCAAAAAATAATCAGGGTGAAATTCGACAATGGCATTAGTATGTTTACATAATTGAGAAACAGATATTAAGTTCTTAGAAGCAGAGGGAACACATAAAACATTACGTAAAGGAAAAGAGGTTGAAGAGGTAGGTAATGTGGTATCACCCACATGTGTGATTTTCAAACCTGTTCCATCCCCAATTTGAAGTTCATCAGGGCCAAGATATTCAGAGTGCAAGGCGAGATTAGCAAGGTCCGTGGTCACATGGTGAGTCGCACCAGAGTCAAGTAGCCAATCCTCAGAAGCAATGTTGGGAGAGGATGCAAAATTGGCATGCGGAGGGTGTTGTTGAACCCGGTAAAATGGACAATTGTGGGCAAAATGGCCTGAATTGTGGCACAATTAACAAGCTTGAGTAGTAGGCCGATTGTTGGGCCTGCCAAAGGATCCACGCCGTCGATTCCCAAAGAAGGGTCTATTGGAGGAAAGGGGTCCTCGATAGTTCCGAGGTGGTGGAGTGAAGAACCGACCATTGTGAGGTGTGGGCAACAGTCCAGCAAAGGTCCCGACGAAGGAAGAGGGTGTTGTGGCTGCTCGAGCAAAGTGAGCAGTGAAAGGAGTAGATGCCAGTTTGGTATCTTCCCAGCGGAGACTTTCTTCATGAGCCACCAACCGATCATGGAGATCATCAAATGACAGGGAGGTGTCACGTGTTCGAAGAGATGCCGCAATCTCTCGAAATTCTGGACCTAGGCCATTCAAGATATATATTGTTAGATCATCATCAGAAAGGGGTCGATCAATCGTACCTAATTCGTCTGCCACCGCTTTCAGAGTGCGGAGATATTCAGAGACAGATCTGCCCTCACGACGCATGTTGTGAAGTCGCTCCTTCAGTGTGAGCACTCGAGCACGTGATCGGTTTGCATAGAGGTTGGCTAGCGTTTCCCAAGCATGTTGAGCAGTGGGTGCTGCAGCAATGTAGGGTGTGATGTTCTCTGAAACTGAGGTAATGAGTGCATGGCGTAAGAGTTGATCTTGCCGAGCCCAGAGAGCATAGGTCGGTTCCGTAGCCACAGGACATGGATTTGTTCCATCCAGAAAACCAAGTAAATCATAACCTGCAATAAGACATGTGAATTGCATCTTCCAGGAGGGATAATTGGTGGGGGTTAGCTTAAGAGGAAACGCAGCGGAGTTAAAGGATATAGGTCCTCGAGTAGCATGGTTGAGGGCAATGGCTGCGGCGTTCGGGTTGCTAGTATTAGAATCATGGGTTGGAGAGTTCGCACCAGAAGAGGAGGTGCTGTCGCTGATTCCAAAGGTTTTGGCCATTGGTAAGACAGAGGAGACTCGTTAGAGTGCAAAGGCTCTGATACCACTGTTGGCTCAAAGTATCAGAAGAACATGTTTATTTAAGAATATATCAAGAGTATATATACAGTTGGAGCCCTACCACATATGGTAAGTGAATCACAATCTTGGATTTTATACAGAGAATGAATGTGAGTTTTAACTGAATGTAAATATGCTATAATGCAGATTTGGTTTCCTTAACACACCGGAAAATCTTCGATTTTGTCTCCAGGAATCAAAGAAAATCCAGGTTCGGTGCTAGTAGCTCAGGTAGCTCCGACACCTTTCTTTCTGCTAATCTTTGGTGATTTGCCCACAACCTCAATAAGTCCGATCTGCCTCTCCTTTCGGTAAACATCTTTTGACTTAGAAATTGCATTCATTTGGTTTTTTTGCTTCTATATTTCTGCTTTAGATTAGACTTTCCGTATCAACTTTTTTTATTTTTCTGCATTGTGATCAATTTTCATTAGTTTTGTTTGTGTTAACTTCGAATCTGTATTGAAGTGTTAGGAGGCAGAGTGTTAGGTCCAGCCGACCGGATTTGATTCCGATGGGCTGCCCCTGCCTCATTTGAATGTCTTCTACATATGCTGATATTTGGATATGGTATAGTCAAGTGTCATTTCGAGTCTGCTTTTGCTATTGCCTCTTAACTTTGTTTGGCTTGTGAGATTGTATATTTCTTTGCATTTTGATTATAAAAAAAATGGTTCATTTGTTACCTATAAAGATTTTCGTCTTACCTTTGCTTAGCCTTTTGCATTTTTAGTGGTTCTATAATAATTGATTGCAATTTGACAGTTTTATAATGATTGATTGTCCTTTAGTTCCCTATGTTCTACACAATAGAAAAAAAAAAAGAGAGAGAGAGAGAAAAGTGATTTGGTGATGCTTTCTGATCTTTGATCAGTTTCTTATGTTGTTTTTCCTGTGTGCTGCTCTTGGTTGTAAATCTTGTTATCTTGATGGATAAAAATGAAAGAAGAAAAAGAAAATTAAGTTTGGCTTCCTATTTGTAAAATAGGGTTTCTGCATTTCATGTTCTTAACATTTTTCATTTTATTATTTTAGGAATCTTTGAGAGCAATTTTGATCTGTTGGGTTAGTTATATGCCACTAGAATATTGAAAATTTTCCTTTCATTTCATATGAAAGTTAACTGATCAGATTTTAGCTTTGGGAATATGGGTTGTTTAAAGTAGGCATGAAACTAGAAAAAATGTAGCTTGTCTATACAGTTTGACTTGATATTAGCATTCTGTTATTTTTCCTTTACATACATCTAAAAAATATATGATAATAAATAGTTATGTGTGTTCGAATAAGGGAGTCTTGCCAATCAATCACTCTGCAGCATCTTTCATTGTTTAAGTATCCAGGTTGTTCATGAAAGGTTGTTTATGAAGATCTGCCATGTCCTTTATCTATCATTGTGTTAATGCAGCATCTTGCTATCAGGGTTTGATGCTGAGTTGTTGAAAATCTTATGGTTGCTTGGTGGCATCACAATGATTCTGGTTGTTATGGTACAGCTTCTTGCTTTGAAGATTACTGTTTTTTTCCTGAAACAGTTTAGTAATTTTCTAATGTAATATTGAGATTTGAATGCAATTTAAAAAAACAGAAATGAAATACTAAAATTTCAGTTCTTGATTTTGGGACTGTCATTAATATATTGGTTGTGCGGTCTTCACCTTGGCAGTGTTTCTTTTCTTCATGGTTCTATTTGATTTTGTCCAAAACCAGATTTCCAGGCCCAAAACTAAAAGTCGAGATGGGTTTTTGTCAAATAAAAGGCCGAGATGCCTTTGAAGAGCTGAGGAGACAATTATCGAGGTTTGAAGAAATGGAATTGGAAGGTAGATCCAATCTAAATTTGGATGGAGTAGTAAATTTAATTCTGCGGTTGATGCTGTTGTGAAGAATGCTACGTGCAGAAATGCAGTTTCTCTAGGTTCGGTTTTCCTTGTTAATGATTTTAGCTAGGTTGTGACAAAATGGATTTTACAGTCTTACTATAATAAAGTCATTCTTACACAAAATAATAAAACCATTTGCACAAAAAGCTAGTGGACACTGGCAATAACAATTCCCATAACCACGTATTTATAAAACTTCAGAAGCATGCAAATATCACTTTCTCTTTCATAACT